ATGTGGAAGAGAAAGAAGGGAGGCGTCAGCAGTAGCCTGTTTTCGCTTACCCGCCCTGCTGTATGCAGCAAGTAAGGCAATCCGGCTGATGGCGCCACGCGACGGCCGATGTGGTATGAGAGTATTGTTAGTTGCGAATGTCATGGTTGCACGAGGGCCGAGATACTGCCAGGGCGCCCGCACCTAGACAGGAGGACGATTAGAGTCCTCAACCAAAGCCTTTGGCTCAAAAGCCTAATCGCAAGGAAGCGGTGTTTGGCGGGAAACGCAAACGCATTACCATTTATAAGGAACAAGTCGACACATGATCCGACCCCCAACCTGGAGGGCCAGGAGACTGTGTTCGTCAGACTTCTAACCATTGACCATCCTCGTATAAGAGACTGTGAGTGTCACGGGGACACTCCCCAGTATAGCTCAATAAATCGCTGAGGTGCGCAAACCGTCACACCACGGTAAGGTCCACTCTCTTCGTGACGGTCGTTCAACTGCCTAGTTGGTATCCAACCGAAGGAAGCATGATGGCTGGGATACTACCAGGTTGCCCAAGCCTAGACGAAAGTCGAGATGCAGCAGTCGGGTTCAAACTACGGACCTTCCGGTCAGTAGATTCGCGCTCCAAAGACCGAGCCACACCCATTCCTCCGAACGTCATGTGGCCAGTTGGCTTCGATTGTTTCGGAAGTTAGTGCTGCACAGAAAGTGTGTGGCCAGTATGTGCCTCTCTATTCTAGTCCAAGACGACCACCCAACCGAACCTCAGCAGTGCCAAGTTCACCTACTTGTGCATTCATTTATTTGCCAACCATTGCAATACCTGAGTTCTTAGCACACTGCAACAAGATGTTCAAACCGTCTTTTATCAGAGCTACAGCCCGTTTCGGTGTAAGCAGATACAGTGAACAGACGACGATTATCGGAGAGTTTACGGGATAATTTCACAGATATTGCCAAGCGGACTGCAGAGGCGACTACCAACGGGCAAGATATTAATCAGACCTCAGCTTGGCGGCTTAGTAAAGAAACAACCAGAGGCGAGTAACGCGCCCACAGGAGTTCGTATACAATGCCCTAGTCAGGGACAAATATTTGGAACACCTTTGATAGTCAGATACGGCCAAAGTTACTCACAACCGAAAGTCAACGGCAGATTTGATATAAACCAACGTTGGACGTTTGAAGCAGTGGCGTTGCTCAAGAATTTGTATGGTCTACGGATCTCCGGCCAGGGAGAAACCCAGCTTGATGTTCACGAATCTGTCTCTCCGGATAATCAATCAACCGGAGGAAAATAAAGCGACGGATACCAGACTGATTCCACGACGTTTTTTTTTGCATGATATTCTTCCACCCTTTTTAAAAACTGGAATGACGGTTAAGGAACTCCTTTTGGTTCGTATCCTATTTTTGTCCCAAATCTTCTACAGTATGGTTGTCAGACTGCCCACGAAGACCTCGCCACCTTTTTCGAAGAGTATGGGATACAGACCATCCGCGCTAAGTGCCCCGTCGATCTTGAGGATTAATATTCCACGCTGGATTTCTGTTGTTGATGGCGGGCTGGTGACGACGTTCCATTCAGTCCTGCTGGATTTTTCGAGCGGTAGTGCTATATGAGACTAGCTGAACTGTTCTTTGAAATGCTCAGCCCAACGCTCAAGACGACGATTGAGGAAGTGAATTGCTGTGCCGCCTATTATGGATATTGTCGGTCGACTGGCATACGGATCACGTGGCCAAACCAGCACAACCTATGGAGTGCGATTAATTCATTTGTCGATGGCGTTATTTCATCCCGAATACCATTCGACGCACTTCAACACTGCTGATCCAGTGTTCCACCACACCCGGGCAATACTCCGAAGACATCGAAGATCAAACACCGACTCTTTTGAGTCACGCTCAGCGGCCAGGTTTCTGACCCATTTAATAATATGAAGCGCACCGCAGGATTGTATATTCAACGTTTGACAGATAAACCCACCCCACAGTTGATGCAGGTTCATAAAAGCTGATCCGGCCTTCTCAATCCGGATGGAGATATCATCTTTCGTGAGACCACCGAGACTGACACAGCCACCTAGGTAGACAAACTCGTCTACTAACTCAATCAGTTAATCCGAAAGCACGGAAACGGAAAGAGGTTTGACGGACATATTTTCCCCATAGATTAGGGTTTCGAATAAGCGTGGCAACTTGATTCATAATGTAGGCTGCTCCGACGATCTCACACCAACAACCAATATGTTGTGGTTAGGCTTTTGGGCCAAAGGAATTACCTGAGAACCATAATCGTCTTCCGGCTAGGCCTGCGTGCCCAGCCCAAACAATCATGAACTGCATGCTTACAAATAACATCATGACACACCAACCGTTGCGTGATACCATCAGCTGCTACATACAGCATGACGGGTTAGAAAAAAAACAGGCTATTCATGACGCCTTCTCTCATATTCTTTCTCCCCCCTACATCACCCTAGCACTCTGTATGTATGTTCATATGTTAGGACTGACGATCGTGTGCGTATTACATAGGTTTTGGTCGCAATAACTGCACGTCAGTCAGTACCAACAATCTCAAGCGTACCAAAATAAATCTTTTAGCCTGGAGACTCGGTTCGTCCGATTTGTGTGTTTGTTCGCACCCGTTTGCAGTGGTTTGGTCATGTATTGCGCATTCTGAAACATCGTTCATCGGAAGGCGCGCAGAAGGGCAGGACCAGTGATGTGACCTAACTTTGACCCGGCAGAGGGAAACAAAGTCGATTACGAAAAATCTGGGTGAAGTCGGTGCGACTCGCCTTCCAGGATGAGGTCCGAGTGATCCCGGTGTGCACGGTTGGAGACGTTGTAAGATGTGCCTACCAACTGGTTTAAATTGCGTTGCTGTTGTCAGTCTCCATCTAGCATGTCAGCATGAGCGTACGGAGTTGTAGGTACCTCAGAATGATTGTGGCATGCTTGCACCAGGTCCCTTCTACCATCCTTTTTTATTCTTTTTCTCACGAGAAAGCTATAAATTGAACTTTTGTTGCCAAGCACCGAAGCACTTGTATGCTGTCGATGGTGATGACGAAATCATTCTGGTACCATAGTTGTTGCTTGAGTAGAAGCTGACTGTGTTTTTCAAACTTTTAAGCGCGTCTCCGGTGTTGTGATTGTACCGTCTAGTTCGTGAATATCCTCGCTGGAGGGTCCGCCCTACGCTCAAAACCAGAGGGCGTTCTGGTACTAAGCAATAATCCAGGTTATTCAAACTCGTCTAAACGCAAGTAGAGAGCTTCAGTGAAAATACAGGGCGCCAGGAACATGGAAATTAGGTACGCTCGAGTAGAGACCATCTATGAATTGTGCTTGTGTTGATACTAGCGCGACGACTACAACAGTACCCAGAGCGAGTGCCATCTGACATGAAGGAGAGTGATCAAAACACACAGACACTTGGCAGGAAAAAACTTAACAACAAAGACTTGAAAAAATGCACCAGCTTGACAACTAAAAGATACCCAAGTAAAACACTGGAACATAAAGCTCACTAACATCTCAACATGACTTGCCATTAGAAGAAACGTCAGAACCGTTGCGGACGACACTAGTCTTTTCAGGCTCGGACTTATGGGGACGACCAGACTTTTTGTCTGTACTGTCTGGTATAGGCTGTTGTGCGACCACAGACGACGCTCCCTTACTTGTTGAGTCGGATGGTTTCTCGGACTCACGAGACTCCATGTCTCAGATATTACGTGCTTAGTGCTAGCATTAGTGTAAAAGAAACTAATCGAAGCAGCCAAGCGGGGAACAACTTACCCGATGTCCCGTCAAAATTCCGAAATGTGGATTCACGCAGCAATCATGTAAAAAGAAAAGACAGACGATTAGAAGTGCGAACTACAATGCGAAAACCGAAGAAAAATATCCTAAACCTACTGGGTATTTTTGACACCGAGCCATGCAGGCTGTCCGATATGGAATAATCCTTAGCTTGAACCGACATCGGCAAACATGACGCGCGAGTCAAAAATCAAGAACAGCGCCAAATCCTTGGTTCGTGAGTTCAAGCTGCTCATAGCCCACCTTGGCAAAGTTGAATGTGATGAGGACGCTAGGCTCTATTGCCTTGTCTATATTGTTCTCCGTAGGCCTCAAATATAAGCATTTGGCGCCTCGCGAGTAGTTGGTTTCTATCCGTCAAAAATTAGGCCACCGGACTTCTGCGGTGGGAGCCCAGTATTCGGACAATGGAATATAAATTTCGAAATCGACGACGTGTGTCTGATGGAACAAAACCGACAGACAGCTAAGTTACGAGCCACATCTAGGCATCATGAGGTCTCGGAGATGCTGGGAAGGCATTTCACCAGACTTTTTCCACCAGATGTATCGTTGCTCCAGTGGACCTCGAAATTTAGTGGTACACAGAAATGTGAACGTTGACTTAAATGATTTTTAGTTTAATGCCATACACAGCAAAACAATATTTTGGCTCAAAAAGTTTTATTTCTCTCCTAAAGGTTTTGCAGTTAAGAGCAATGTGCGGCTAGTGGGTTCCTCCGTAGTCCTCCATGTCCGTAAGCTACACGTTAAAAGCGACACCTTGAGCTATTTGGCTTTGGTATAGATTCCTACGTTCCTAAATTTATTTGACGGACATCTGATTAACAGCGGTTATTGTCTTACGAACACTCGGATCTTCTTGTGACTCTCCAGCAGTTATCTTCCTGAAGATTACTTCGGATATATATCGACACCTCCGGGCCGGCCTTAGGTTTGTTTGACGGCGAGCCGGGTTCTTTGGAGCTGAAATTGCAAGTTCAAGAATTTTTTAGACAATGGCCTCGTCTGATTCCTCCACCGACAGTCGTACCATTTGAGGCTTTTCGAATGAAATACGCACTTCTGCCTGGCAAAAGAAGGTTTGAGGTTCGCATTTCACAGCCCGGTAGCAGACAAAATCAAACGGTAACACGCGGCTACCAACATGCCTCAGAATAGCCGTAACTACCAGATGATCACCGAAACTTCCACTCCTGGTGATAAACAGATTCAGCGGGAATAGTGTGTGACCTTCCTGCTAACTGTGAATGTGCGGACACGCTGAGTGCGTGACCTCCGTATTGCAGTTCGTCAGTCCCTGTGTGAAATGTCCACTAGGCTCGACATGCTGGAAATCCCGTGGAAGGTCTTAAGAGAACCCAAGTAATCTGTAGACGAAAGAGGGGTAAATTGGTAAATGGAGGATATTTGCTCAAAGATTCGTGTGATGAACAAACCACATTCGGGGGTCTCCAGGGCGTTTAGGAAAAAGTCGGTGCTGCACGGTGCGTCATAAAAGGATGTAAGAACGGTTTCAGCGGGGAAAAGCTAGAAAAAGTAATACATTTATTGTAAAGCAGTTCTAGCCGCCCTGCCAGGCTTCGAGTCACTAAAAAATGGAGCCACCAACTAACAAGATCTCACATTAGTGGCATTTCGTGCGGTGCAAACCTTGGTGGACGGCCGTTCACAGTGGTCCAAAAGTTTTTTGAATCAACTAATTTAGTTCAGCACTATTTGTGCTGCATCCAAGTGTGGGGAGCATGGAATCGTTGAACCATTGAAGAGGCCAGTAGAGTCGACATTTCTAGGGTTACATCGATTACTCGGCCTAAGTGAACCAATACAACTCAACTGTCAGCGTGCTGTCTTGATTGCGTCAACTATGATTTCTCCTCTGCATGGTGTTTTCCATCCCCTAAGAGTCCGAGTTACGCCAAAGCTCTGTTCAGCAAGCAGTCGAGGGCAACCATTGCAGGTTGGTTGGGAAAAACTTCTATTATTAGTAAAACTGCCATAGGCTATCTTAACGCTCATGCGTGGGGCATGAGGCCTATTTTTTCCTTTTCGTCCATCAAAGAAATAAGTCGAGACAATTCCACTCACCTGGAATTTTTCGCCTTTCTGAGGCAAGCGTCGACTCGGGCGTCACTGTCGTTCGTGAACACCGGGTCCCGAATGGTTGAGTAAAAGCTACAATGTGCAGTCGTGCACAGATGGTTTAATACACTTTCGAAAGTGCACCAACCCGCAACTGCAACTGACTTCTTCGAAAGTTTTGTTTAGAGACCCTGTCGGCTGTGGTCGACATTTTGGTGACACCCTTCTAAAGCCGCTGTGATATAGTTTTCCGTTTTTGGAGGGTAATCCTCGGGATCAACGCGAAAGGCCTATCAGACGCGCGGAGATAGTTTCAGAGTTCTTCAGTTGGCGTTAGGAGGGTAAATAATGACTTGAAGCCAGAACGTTCGTTGCTTATCTATTCTTGAGATCGTTTTGAGGGGATAGATTCGTACACATGCTTTAGCAGGAACAGGCTAAAGATGTCATTGCGCTAGTTCCGTTGACGCGATTGTTTTGTGGGATCCAGTGATGCCACGCTGTTCTCCATTACAGCGTCAGAGGGGTCCAGGTTACCATATTTGTTGATATTTACCGGAATTCGCGGCAAAATGCGTTCCGTTGTATATGCGTCGTGTGTCAGATCTTTCTGGGTCAGGTTTTCCTTTCCTTTGGGCGGCTCGGGTTAACCTAAATGACTTAGGCAAAAAATGTCCGCACCGCTGTTTAGGTCCTCGCCATTGGGCAATTAAGTTTAAGTGGGAAGCTTCATGTAAAAAGACATCTAAAATCGATCTGAACTGAGCCCTAGATGCAGCGTAGTAGAAAGGATATCCCGCTCGTTTTAGTGCCCTTTAGTAAGCCCAATCCAGCAGGCAAAAGTCTTAAGTTATTATGTATATTTTTGCTACATCAGACGATTTGCAGGTGGAATTTTTCAAGAGTGGATTGGCAGAATTCAGAATTATATTTTTGGGTTTCAAGAACAAGCGTTTTACTTATATGGAAGAATTTCTATAGCTCTAGTGAAATTAATTAAGCATCATAATTTGACATTCCCGTAGTAAACGCACGAAAGCCGGGGAATTGTAGGCTACAATGGCCAGGGGCTCTTTCTTTGCACCGTGGCCTCCCCAAAACGGGAGTATTTCTGTGGTCGTGAACCTAAAATATTATACGTGTGCGCTTCATCTGCGAGGTTTTCCTTTTAGGAGTTTTGTCTCAGCCTGCAACGTTTTTCACCAGGTTTGCTCTCCATCTGCTGAACTTTTCTAAGTTCCCCACACCCCTTATATTTTCGTAGGGTTCGGCAAGCGTTGTAATCCGAATGCACCGCATCCTTTTGGTGAGTCTTATCCGGTCAATTAAATGCTCTCTAATTTGGACAAACCGCGGCTGATAGTTAAGAAGCTCTTCACAAGAAACGTCATCTTTTTCAGCGCACTTATTTTACAGCCGCCACAGCATCTACGTGCACGTTCACGAGTGAGTAAAACCAAGGGCAACAGAAACTTGATGCATGGTTTTCGCACTCCCAAATAGTTAGATCATCGTAATTAAAATGTGCCCTCATCCCTGGGGGAAAATCCAGGCAGGCCGGGATTACCAAAGAAGTCAGGCCTACCGTGCCGGTGGTAGGTGCGATCTCAGAACATTCCATTCTTGTATCACGAGAAATCGTGATGAGTTATTGTTTTGTTTTTCCACAAGTCCTATTTATGTCTGCGAAGTAATCTGATAAATTTTATTTGACTGATGCAAATACTGTTCCCCAGTTTATCAGTGTTCAAACAAACGGCGGATCAAACCTATTCGTTTCAGTGGGCCTAACGTTCACCCATTTGCAGACATTTCCAGCCGACAAAGTAAGCAGTTCAGAAAAACCAAGTAAATGGCAAAAACGTGAATTCTACCGAGTTTTGTTTACATCTTAAATTGATTTCGCCCCACTTTCAAGAAGTTGGCGGATGATTCTTTCGGATTCATCAAATGAGCACAATTTATGGCGCCGATCTCATGGACGTATAATTTGCAGCAGGACGAACAGCCAACCAGTACTTTAAACGACTAGTTCTCTGAGCTGTCGGTGTCTTTACCCGCTAGCCGCGGGCCAAAATGCAGAAACACTGTTAGAAGGTGGAACAAAATAGTAAGTATCGAGTGAAAAAGATTGTTAGCGTGTGCGCGGAACATTCAAATTCTGCGGCATCCCAAGAGGAACAGATATGGCTGCAGGGAGCTTTTGGGACAAGGAAAACAACAACATTTTGCTTGGTTTTACACCGCAAATTCTTGAGCACACGAACATCGCCCTTATGCCACCTCGGAAGCACCGACCGCATTGTTTTCTACGGTAGAGAGGAAATAAATAAAAGATGTGCTTCGGATAGACATATGAAGGGTTGTTGTGGACGCGGGCATCAGTGACGACCAGATCGGATGATCAATATATACAGCCATTTATATAGCCCTATATTATGGTTGTCAATGAGAAGCGCCTTAGTGTCAGAAGGAAGAGAACCACAGCGATAATAAAGAGCATTTATCTCAGCACTATCAACGTGCTACTCCGGTGAATGTAGCATCAACCCGCTGTCGTGTGTATCGACTGTGAGCAAAGCCAGAAATTTGAATAGTTAATTTACTCTAACTTTCAGGTGCAACAGTGACGAACCAGAGACATGTATGGGATAGTTTTGAAGGCACGAACTGGCCGAAGAGAATGCGCTCAGCGCAGGACTTTGTCCCAGCAGCAACAACGCGGCAGAGAAAAATTAGCTTGTTCTCGTGAAGCGGTGGCGGATGGAAGGAAATTGTACTGTGTTGGGTGCAGGAGTTTATTAGTAGGTAGGTAAGTGAGAAAGGAGTCGTTCACGATTTTTTTGGTCAGGATGTTTGTGTGGCTTATAGGACATAGTGAATAATATTTTTGTAGATAAGATTAATAATCGCAGGCCCAATGTAAGCATAGCACACCCAAGAAGAAAAACAAAAGGAAGGTTGATACGGGAACTTCAGCAGGTCAGTAAATTCTTCAAAGGTTTCTGGTTTTGTGCTCTCCGGAATAAAGGAACCGTCAAAGTTGAGGAGTGAACCATTTGGCTACCTCGCAGGTTGAATCGATTATTGGTCATGCGAAGGCTG